CTTCAATAGAGAAAGGAAGAAGCAAAGCCCCGAGGGTAAAACAGAGAAACACATTCTTTCTTGAGGGGTGGAAGAGGAGAGGTCATGAAATGACAGACATGCCCCCAATAACAGGTGAAATAGAAGAGCAAAGTTTTAAGGGCAAAAGTGAAAGCTAATATCAAATGACAAAAAAACCATTTTTTTTAATTTTCCTTCAAGCTTCCATGAAAACACAACTTAAGCACTAGATTTTGGTACCCAAACTTTCTTGGTTCCATTTAAGTTAGTCGAACAAATAGAAATTTTCTTTGGAACCCACTTTAAATTCATCTTAAAGAAATTCTTTCTAGTATAGCACTAATGAATATAGTGTCCCCTTTTTAAACAATAATGACAAATGATACCATAATGAACATGATTATCTCTAGAACTTGATGCTTCTACTATGTCATAAGAATGCAAAGTATTACAATTCATAAAAACAGTAGATTTAGATGAGGAAGACTTGGATAATTCAAAAGAAGGTCCAGCTCTATTATGAGAAAATTTTTGTGAACTTAAATTGTTGTCTAACTTACCTTTGCCTTTCACAAAATTGTTCAAAGAACATTCAAGAGAGCTTATTTTCCTTTTTAATTCATCTACCAGCTATCATACTCTTCAATCAGCTTTTGTTTGCAATTTCTAAATGCAATTGTTGACTCTTCCAAGTCAGTTTCCATATTTTGACTAATTATCTTTTCCTCATTTAAAGATTCTTTCAAATCATTGTTTTTTTTTCTAAGTGACAAAATTTCCCTTTTTAAAGATGCATTTTTTGCACTAATTTGTTTAGTATGCTCATATAATTCACTAAATGCATCTTGCAAATCTGCATATGGCATTTCATCATCACTAGCATGATAAAAAATAGAAGAAGAATTGGAATTTACCTCATCTGTGTCATCATTTGCCATGAGACAAATATGAGCTTCCATGTCACTTACTTCTTTACTAAAAGATGAGTCCTCACTGTAGCTCCATGTGGCAACCATTGCCTTCTTTTTCTTTTTGGCTTTTAGACTTTTTTCACCATTGTTTGGACACTCAGTTTTAATATGTCCAGCCTTCTTACATTTGTAGCAGATAATTTCATCCTTTTTATTGCTTTCTCCCTTTCCTTTACTGCTTTTGTAATTTTTCTTTTGTTGTCCTTGATTCTTCAGTTTGTCTTTCCTTAGGAAACTCTTAAACTTTCGAGCAAGCACTATAAATTCTTCATCATCCTCTTCATCACTGTCACTTTCATCTTTGGAGGAGCTTTTGAA